TATTTTTCCTTATAGTAGTGAAAAGGATTAAGGGTAAAATAAGTATTGCATGCTTGAATTATGACATATATCGATTTAGAGATATGCATAGTCATGAGCACAATATTGTTAAACATGATTGATTTGATTGTTTGATTTTGTTGAATTCTAAATCAAGAATCAATGTTTGAAAGGTAAGCATATTGGCATGACATTCATTTAAGATTTTGTAGGTTTATCTTTTGAAAACCCCTACGAGACACAACTCGTCCAGTTAAGGTAACTTAGGGTTTTAAAGGCTTATTGCATATGTTAAATACAACCATGATTCCTATAAAAGTGAGTTAGGTTTTTGTTTTGTTTGTTTTGCTCGAGGACTAGCAAAGTTTAGGTGTGGGGGTATTTGATAGGTGTATAATTTATATAACCTTTGTATCTTTTTACATTAAACTTATAGTGCTTTTTATGTTACATTAATGTAGATAAGAATAAGTTAATAATTTTGGATTTTTATAGGAAAAATGACAAATTGACGCGAATAAACCTAAACCAAAATGTATAAGAAGCCAAAACCACTAAGGAAACAAAGAAGTCACATGATCGTGTGATTTACAAGAGGAAAAAGCTACTAGCTCTATGAAATAAAGAAGGAAACCATATAGATGGTCAGCAAAAACGACATACGGGTAGTAGCAATAAATACAATTTAAGCAAGAAAAGTGACATGCCATGTGGATGTCAAGGCCGAGATGTCTCCTAAAGAGAAGAAAAAGAAATATGAGAAAAAACTTAAGAAGACGAGGTGAAGAGGAAATTAGGCACAACCGTGTATCTTAGTCTAGTAAGTCGTGTGCCACGACCTCCATATGGCTCCAAACTATATGAAACATATAAGCAAGTCATGTTCCTTTTCCAAAAAAATTGTGTGCCCATGTTGGGCTGCCATGTATGTGATGTAACTCTACTTTATGTGATAAATAGAGAAGTTAGGATTCATTATTGGGATTCTCCCAATCTTGTACCCACCATAGATAGAAAAAAATTCTCTTTTGTAAGCAAATCATGTATCACTAAGAATCTTTTTTGGTTGAAGGGAAAGTTGAAGCTTTTGGGGTAACTTCTAATGATATCTAAATGGGTTTTATCTCTAATCCTATTTGTTTGAGTATTTGATGTTTTTCTAAGTTATTTGAATATGATTATGTTGTTGATTGATTAAAGAGCATGCTAGTTAGTTAATCATTTTAATATATTGTTCGCTAAGTATTCAAAGTTTGTAATTGTTTCTCTAAACTTTCAAGTAGTAGCAATTAAGGGAAAAAACATTAAACTAGATTAAATTCTTCTAGCATCCAGGAGGGTTATTTAGTTTCACCTATCTTTCTATCAATTAATGCTCGCTATTGGATTAAATCTAGCTAGCGTCTAATAGGTTGTTCAATAGTTAAGGATTAATTAAATAGCATCTATTTGGTTAACAATTCACTAATGAAAGATTAGGGATAACATACATTTTCTTATCTTACAGTGGATATTCATAACAAGAATGGATTAATGTATGAATCTATAATCAACTAGTTAACCAAAAGTGGAGACCTACCTTTAACCAAGGCCTTTATTGTTATTATCATCTATCTATTTAATTGTGTCTACCTTTAATATTCTCTACAAACCATAACCTCTATTTTCCTTTACTTTACTTTGAAACGACCAAAAGGAAATGGACATTAATTAACCATTTCTCTATGGAATCGACCTTTACTTACCTTAATTGCAGTTTGTAATTGGGTCCAATGAGGAGAAAATAAATAATCAAATTTGTCGATGGTACGACACGCTGTCAAACATACTCAATTCCAATAAGAAATAAGGATAAGAATAACCTTATTAATAACCGATTACACAAATGACTCGAATTTAGGCTTAAAAACCACTTGAATTGAAAAGAAAAAACTTAGTCGCCCATATTGATGAAAATTGTAGAAAAATAAAAGAAGTTTCCTTTTCTTCTATCTAAAAAATGTCCTTTAACCTAGCCATGTAGAACCCTAATTATATCCTATTTTAGATTCATAATTTACTTAGAATCACATTCCATAATTCCTAAAATCACAAAGTTTCCTTAATAGAATTGGAAACAAATCAATGCAATAACTTGCGATCGAAATTAGAAGTAGAAATTGACTTTTTTTTTTTTTGGACTTGGGTTCTTCACAAACGTTACAGCCTTGAATTTTTTCATTGACTATGGGCTTTTGAATCACCTAATTTGGCTCTTGAAAGCCCAAATTACATCATGTTGAAGCTCTAGTGGTCCGTCAAGAGTTTTTCAGCCTTCCATCTCTAAATTTACTCCAATGCCTTATGAACCAACCAATCTCAAATTTCAACCAATCGGACCTTTTTGGGATTGTTGGGATGTCCCCTACAACTTTTCTAAAGACCACTTTTAATTCTAGATTCATCTTCCATACCCGAAACTCCGCATAAAGCCTAAAAGGTCATTTACACGGATGTTGAAATTTTCACTTTGAGTCATATTTTTCTAAAACTTTTCAACTAAGGTCCTATTCATTGATTTGAACATAAATGAGCACAATAAGACACAAAACATGACAAATAGACCGAGTGAACGAGAGAATAAATGTATATAAATTATGCTTCTATCATATTCTCCAACCAATATATGTTAGTTTTAATCAAATAAGAAATTCAAAACATATAGTAATGAATAAGTGACAAATCCCACCAAAAAAAAGGCAATCATTATAACAAATTACAATAATGTATAGACTAAACTTTACTAAAGTGTGAGTCGCTTAACTCCAGACTAGCTCAATCGTTACCTACAATATATAAGCTCCAAAACATCATTAACAATCATCAAACCTTAACTATAAGAATATCAAAGGTCTTCTATCCTCGAGCTGATTTCCCTTCCTTATTTCGGTTGAAAAACCTTTTGTTTTGCTTATTCTTTTCACACTCTCGTCCTCTCACCTTTGACATAGCCGGTCTATATATACACTAATTACTACACCTAAATCCTCGTCAATGCTTTTTTATAAGAAAGTTAAATAAAAGAAAAGGAAAGTTTGTGATTTTTGTTTGGTTTGGTAAAGGTTTGAAATTAAGAAAACAAAAGAAATTTATTTTCTTTCTACAATACCCTTTTGTTTTTTCGATCTAAACTTGGTCAACGATGAAAATGGAGGAGCATGAAATTGAAGCGAGCAACTCAATTCTCGCCCATTTCAAATCTGGTATGTACGTACATGTAAAACTATTCATTTTTGTACCTTTTTTTTTTTTTTTTTTGAGTCCAAGCATTGTGAGGATGGAAAAACACTAATCTCATGTAGTCTTCGCTGGCAATTCTTCAAGACTCAAGTTAAAAATCAACCAATATACCCTTTTCATATTCAATAGTTTCGAAATTAAAATCCAATTACATTTTAAACGTTGGAAACTGTAAAAACATTTGATGTAAATACCAATTCTAAAGTACAAGTATGTCCTTTTCATTTTTAATGCATAATGAGTAATTTAATCAATGACTTTTCTCTCTACTATGAATTTTAGTCAATAAACCCTTGCTTTCTTTTATTTGCTTAATTTTAAAAAGACATGTATTATTGACAAATCCTCCTACTAATTTTAAAATAATTCATATTTTAACTTGAAATTTAAAAACATCTAATACAACATGTTTTATTTTACATAGTATCATAAATATTCTTCTTCTTCTTCTTTTTTTCGTGCTTAACAAATGTGTCCAATTGAGTGCCTATGAGATTCTCTCATCTTTTTGGAGTATGATGAATCATGTTTATTAAATTTTAATCATTAAATTCAAATCAATGGTTAAAATTTAATTTTAAATTTAAATAACTTTCTAATTATATATGTAAATAATTATTCATTATTCATGTATGAAATTAAATGTTAACTATTGATTTGAGTTCAAAGATGCGAATTTTAGAAGCTTATGTTTCAAAAAAACAAGAAAGAATCTAAAACAATATATGAGCCTCAATTAGATTAAAAACTCAAAGCACATAATAATAAATTACTTTCTTGTATTACTTGTGTTATCACCTTTTTTTTTCACCCTTATTATTTTTATTTTTACTCTTTATTTATTGCAAAATACCAAAAAAATGAAAATGAAAATAAAAAAATAAAAAATGAAAAGGGTACCAAAAAAAAATGAAAAATGGTAAACAAAATGTCAAGTAAAGAATAAGAAAAAATCGTGGAACAATTAGCTTAGGTTAATTCTAAAAAGGAGGGGGCTAATTGAAAAAAATGGAAAGTTTGGAAGTAATAAAAAGGGTTAATTGAGGGCCCAATTAAAATAATCAAAACTTCTATCCTTTAGTTAAAATAAAAAGAGAGCACAATTGGGAGAAATTAAAATTAAAATTTCCAATTAATGGAGATTTAGGGGCCCCATCGAAACAAAAAAAAATCAATATTAAACTCAAAATGACGGGTTGTGAAGAACTAGGGATCAAAATAAATTTTGCCAAACGAATCTAGAAACTACCTATAAAACCCTTTACATTTTGTATATATTTCATTATTCATTCACCATTTTCATCTAGTCGACACTATTCCTCTCTCTCCCTCACCAAAAATTTTCCTTAATGGCGACCACTTTCCTTCCTCTCTTTCCTTGATCAAAACTACTATAACCACCCCCACAAGCACTCATCTTCCTCCCTCATATCTCCCTTCAACTATAACTTAAGCCTTCATCATCCATAACTCCCTCTCCCTCACCTTCAACCCATAAGCTCCCCCTCTCTCTTCTTGCCTCGCAAACACGATCTCTCGCTTACGGCTCTCTCTTTACGCCGACCATCGCTCTAGCTTTTCCCCCACGTAATAGCTACTCCTTATAGCTATCAGTAGCTCCTAAGCTCCAGCTTCATCCTCCATGTAGCAGCCCTTTCATATGTAGAAGGACTCGTCTAAAGCAAGACCATAACCAATCACCTCCTTTCCTATAACCCTACTTCAAGTAGTGCACCCAGCAGCCCACTGTCTCTAGCTCGTGCGTGCCTAGCATAATAGCCCTTCCTATAGCTTGCTCTCGCACGTACTTAACATAGTAGCTGCACCTTCGACCAGGTGCGTGTGCCCAACACCAACCTCCCATAGGTTTGCACAAGTAGGCCTTCACCTCTTTCCCTCCTCGAGCAAGCAGCTCAAACACCACAACCACAACTCTCTCCCTCATGTAGCAATTGCATCTAGTTTTGGTCTATACGTCTTCCTTTGTAGCAGGTCTCTCACACGCTAGTACCTCCCATAACCTCCTTACAACCAATCAACCCTAAGCTTCGCATGCCCAACAAGTGCACACCAAGTCTAACACCTTCACGCATAGCATGCTAAGCCTCCTACCCCTTTTACGAGATAGGCATGAGAGCAAAAACCCATATGCCTAGTGCAGCTCTTATTGTTAGTCCGTAGGCCAGCATACATGTTTCCAGCCTTTTATCATTAATCTCATGCATAGTGGTTGCTACCAAATCCAGTAGCTCTCCTAACATAATAGCTCCTCACATGCCCAAGATGCACACCCACACAATAGCTCCTCGTGCAACCCACATGGCAGCTCCACACTAAACAACCATCTCCTTAATCTAACCCGAACAAACCCCCACATGCCGACCTCTTCTTTCTTACCAATAGCCTATCCAAAGCCTACCCATAAGTAGCCCAAAATAGCCCCTAAAGCTCACCCACAATAGCTCAAAATAGCCTCTATAAATAGCCTCCCTACAGACTCTTCCTTTGGCCAATCTTTTTCCACCTAAACAACCCTTAAACCACCCCGTATATAGCCTTTAAACATCCTATAAAATAACCCCTAAATAGCCTCCCTACATCCCATAATTCAACCCGTAAATAGCTTTAGCCCACGATTTCAACCCCTCCCAAATCCACTAAAAAGAAAAGAGAGAAAAAGATAAAAAATTTCATGTTAGATTTTGTTTGGTAAGAACAACATAATGTCGTAGATCGCATTTGTTTGATCTTTGATAGAAAAAACATAGCAACGACTTGGTTGCTATGTCCCTCAAGTTTCAGGAGACTTTGTAAATTTATAAGGACTTTGGGCAACATCAACCTTGGAAATTTACATTAATTTTAGAAAGATGTTTAGCTACTTTGATAGGAACCATATAACATTTTAACAACTAATAACGACTAATCTTCTCTCACTAACTCGAATAATCTGTTATCATCAAAGACGAAAGGAGTAGAATTGACCTCTAAATTAGGCACCGTAACTACAAAATGTTTTGGGTAAAAATTCTAAAATTACTTCATTTCTTAAAAAAAAATGAATAAAAAATGATTGTATTCTTAAAAAATATCAATGAAATTGTTGTATGACGTTTAAATATTAATGGTTTAAATGTGGTTGAAGTGAACATTCTTTTAATGACCATTTTAGGATAAACTACCTTATTTTTCTATTTTATCCCTATCTACTTAAATACAAAGTTTGTGCTAGTTTTGTGATTTGATTAACATTCTGTGGTCTGGTTGCAATGTTAAAACTAAACCGCTAGTGGCTTCTTACTTATGTGACAAAGCCTTCAGTGGTTTCAAAATTATTTTGTTTATTTCTTGTTCCTTTTTTCTATTTTATGTTTCCTATTCTTGTTTCATATTTCCTTTTGCTTAGTTTTGAATTATTAAAATAAAGTTGTCGGTGGCTTTTCACTTATGTGACGAAGCCATGAATGGTTTCAAAATCATTTTATCTATTTTCTATTCAGGTTTCTTATTTTTTATTTCTTGTTTCCTATTTTTGGTTTTTTGTTTCTTGTTTTATTAAAATGAAGTTGTCATTGGCTTTTCACTTATGTGACTAAGTCATCAATGCATTCAAAATGATTTTTATTTAATATGTGCTTATTGAAACGAAGTTGCTAGTAGCTTTCCACTTATGTGATGAAGTCATCAATGGCTTTTAAAATAGTTATTTTCTCCTAGTTCGACCTAAATAAAGTGGTCGGTGGCTTTGCACATATGTGACACAATTACCGTTAGCTTTTCAAATTTATGACTCAAAGTTGTTAGTGGCTTCCCACTTATATGAGTGAAATCAACGGTGACTCATTACTCATGCTAATAAAAGGCTATCCATTTTTAAAAAACTTGACTATTTGTTGATAATAGGTCGCATTCACTAATGACTAATGAAAATTCCAACTTTCCTTATTTTTTCCATTTTGGGTTGGGGGTAATGGCCTTAGATCTACCAAAATCCCTCTAAGCTATCCTATTTTACACCCAAACTACTCTATTTTATATTTGCATAAAATAAACTTATTTAAGTTGGCATAGAAGCATAAAACATTAAAAACTAGGTTCTTACATCCATAGGTAAACAATACAGACCTACCTTAGGTAGGACGAGATGACGATGATATTATATCTTTCCTATATGTAACCGACCCCTTATCCGGACATCTATGTAGACCAAGTACATTTAGAGTTTTTTAGTTCTCTCCGATTAGTTAGGTGATAACTCTTTGTTTGGCCCTCTTCACCGGATCGACATCTACGGAATTGACGACTCCACTAGGGACTTACTATGCTAGGATCAAGCTTTGAATGCATGTGTTCAAAAGTCTCTAGTTTTTATTATGTCTCTATGCTTATTTATTTTGAGAGAGTGATTTTCATTTAATTGTTTATTTTTTTGTATTATGAAAACATATCCGTATATATGTATGCTCGTTTGTGTTGTTTTTCTCTCGTAGTCTTGGTTATTTAATTTATAGCCTTTTATTTCATATTTTTTAAACTAGATATGGAGTTATGCCCCACACATTACATTGCATAATTTCTATCACCATTCATATTCATCTTAGAATTTAGGGAGTTAGTAGTGGTGTCTCAATGGGTTTTGCTTCGAGTAAACACTCATGAAACCTCAATCCTTTTTGCTAGTTGCCATTGGTGATGGCTAATTGATGATTTTTCATGATTGCTAATGATTCTATTAAAGACTCACTATGCTAAAAAATACCTTTTTTGAGATATAGATAGAGCCTACCCATTCATGTAATGGCTAGAACCAAATCTTAAGAATATCCTTCTTTGTTTAAATATACTAGGCAAGTCGGATATGTTTGAAACCTTAACTAAAATAATTTAATCATGGTGTTTCCGGATGGTCGATAAAAGAGTTCAAACTTAGTTCAAGCAAGCATCGATCAAAGTGTCGAAATGTTACTACTCGTGAATAATCATATCATTAAACCTATTATAAGCAATCTTATGGGTGAAAAAACAAGAAGAAACTCTTTTGTCATCCACCATAGATGGCTACTCCATATCCAAGTTAAGTATCCTTATTTTATATCCATATTATTTATGTTGCTGTATTTTATTATTTACCCGGAGAATCATAAGTCATCCTGTCAAAACTATGTTTCCCCCAAGAGATTAGCAATTAAAGCTAAAACAAGAATGGATAATGAAGAAAGGACTCAACTTGAACAAAGCCATTAGAAGGACTAAGTGCTTTGAAAGAAAAAGTGTATAGGCTAGTTGATTTACTTGAGGAAAGATTACGAACTTGTATATCTACTAAAGTCCTCATAGTAAAAAAAATAGGTCTATCATTTGTTATCCCCGAGTTGTTCACTCGTCATACTAATACTCACTACTTAAGTGGTGATTTTCTATGAAAAATTTCTCCACTCCCCACTAAGAGGCTATCAATATTTTGAATCTAATCAATCACACTATACTTGGAAGCATGTATGAGCTAGCCCATCTTGAAGTCTCTAGCTCGACTCCATGGTAGCCATATACTTTGCAAACTTAGGCAACTCTTTTGGTTGATTTGGTTACTAATGAAAAGTTGAAAGGAAAAATGAGCTAAGAGATTGAAATTGAGAAGCTCGGTACCAATGAGGAATGTCTCATAGCCATTGAGGGCGTGGACATGTATGACCCTCTTTTGATAGTAGATAGATTCTTGATTCCAAATATCATGATTCCCGAAAAGTTCAAAGTTCTAGAATTCTCAACACAGGAGTCAATATCCAATAACTCATCTTAAGATTTCTTTAAAAAAAATGATCAAAGTTGCTTATGATGAAAGGGTTCTAATTCTAGGCGAATAGCTTATCCTTCTAAATCTTTGTCAATGAGGAATAACTTTGGTAAAGGAGATTACACTAATGTTCATCGATTAGGGAGTCTACTTTTAATTCAAACAATCATTTGAATCATTCCCATCCATCACAAAACATTTCCTCAAAAATTCAAACAAAACATCCTCCATAGCTTAACCATGAACAGAGACAATTCAATCAATACAATCAAGGAAATATAGGTCATAAAAAATATAAAACATATCGTCATCACTTTCACGACCAACTCCTATGACAACTACTCTACAAAAACCTTTATTTCCTAAGTGGTATAATCTCAATGAATCTTGTGAGTATCAAGTTAACATAATTCGTCATAATATCGAATATTGTTTAAGCCTTTCCAACCATGCCGCCATTGGTACGGTGAGTATGTTGTCATTGGATGATGTTGAGCGTGACAACGAAAAGAAAGTTTTGAAATTTTCATGTCTTATTTTTTTGATATGCTATCTACTTTCAGCATTAATAAAAAGCCAACCAAGTCTCAAGCTTTTATTCATGTCGAGTTCTTATACAAGTTCCATAAAGAAATTAGAAATGATATTGATGATTGTCATGAATTTCATTAAAAGGTACATACCATGCTAGCTTTGAGCATCTTAAGAGTGAAAAAAAAATCAGAGAAGTCTTCATATATTGTTGATTTATATAGTTAAAACTTGAGTTTGAGCCAACTATGTTATGCCATGATAGTGAACATTTTAGGGGTAGAGAAAGCTAATGCTAAGAATGAAGTCATACGAGTCTAGGTAAGTGCTTGATAGTCTATAAATGATAGTGCTTTTTACCGGTACACTTAAGGATGTCTTTAATGTTGATTAGCTTGTCTATGAGATCTCTTGGAGAAAAGGATTGAATGATTGGTTTGATGAAGAAGCACCTTTTTTTTCAAGGCCAAGTAATTTTCTTATCGTATTTATCTATCATGCTTTCATATGATGTCAATTTGTAAAATCGTGTAAATTTTTCTTCTCAAACTATCACTTTTTCCTTCTTTTTTCTATTGTGTTCTATTTTCATTTTTGCCCTATCTTTGGAACATCCAATA